TGGATTCACTGTGGATCTCTGGGAATGTGGGAATGGTTCCCTCCATTAGGGATAAAGGAGTGGATTCACTGTGGATCTGTGGGAATGATTCTTTCCAGAGTGATAAAGGAATGGATTCACTGTGGATCTGGGGATCTGTAGCAATGGTTCTTTCCAGAGGGGTAAAGGGATGGAGTCACTGTGGATCTGTGGGAATGGTTCCCTCCAGAGGGATAAGGGGATGGATTTAATTTGAATCTGTGGGAATGGTTCCCTTCAGAGGAATAAAGTAGTGGATTCACTGTGGATCTGTGGGAATGATTCTTTCCAGAGTGATAAAGGAATGGATTCACTGTGGATCTGGGGATCTGTAGCAATGGTTCTTTCCAGAGGGGTAAAGGGATGGAGTCACTGTGGATCTGTGGGAATGTGGGAATGGTTGAAAGGGATGGATTCACCGTGGATCTGTGGGAATGGTTCCCTTCAGGGGAATAAAGGGATGGATTCACTGTGGGAATGTGGGAATGGTTCTCTCCAGAGGGATAAAGGGATGGATTCACTGTGGATCTGTGGGAATGGTTCCCTTCAGGGGAATAAAGGGATGGATTCACTGTGGGAGTGTGGGAATGGTTCTCTCCAGAGGGATAAAGGGATGGAGTCACTGTGGATCTGTGGGAATGGTTCTCTGCAGAGGGATAAAGGGATGGAGTCACTGTGGATCCGTGGGAATGTGGGAATCCCTCTCCAGAGGGATAAGGGGTGCATCTTTTTCTCCCTTCCAGCTGGATGAGGTGCTCAGGCAGAACAACGTCACCACGGACTACCCGGTGGCCGAGACCATCATGATGCTCGGCTTCTTCCTGTCGGTCTTCGTGGACCAGCTCTTCCTGACCTTCCAGAGGGACAAGCCCTCCTTCATCGACCTGGAGACGTTCAACGCGGGCTCGGACGCGGGCAGCGACTCGGAGTACGAGAGCCCCTTCATGGCGTCGCCGCGCGGGCGCGCGCCCAGCCCGCACTCGCACGGCCTGCACCTGCCCGAGCTGGCCCGCTGCGGCCCCCGCCGCCTGCTGGGGCTGGTCTTCGCCCTCTGCACCCACTCCATCTTCGAGGGGCTGGCCCTGGGCCTGCAGGAGGACGGCGGCAGAGTGGTCAGCTTGTTCCTGGGGGTGGCCGTGCACGAGACGCTGGTGGCCGTGGCCTTGGGCATCAGCATGGCCAAGGCCTCGCTGCCGCTGAGGGACGCGGCCAAGCTGGCGGTGGCCGTGTGCCTGATGATCCCGCTGGGAATCGGCGTGGGGATGGGCATCGAGAGCAGCCGGAATGCCGCGGGCAGCGTCGCCTCCCTGCTGCTGCAGGGCGTGGCCGGCGGCACCTTCCTCTTCGTCACCTTCTTCGAGATCCTGGCCAAGGAGCTGGAGGACAAGAGCCACCGGCTGCTCAAGGTGCTGTGCTTGGTGCTGGGCTACGCCGCGCTGGCCGGGCTGGTGCTCGTCCCGTGGTGAGCCGGGAGGCTCGGGAAGCCAAGGGAGCAAAACCTCGCCTCTCCCCTCCCACTGCGCCGGGAGGAGCCGCCCCTTTCACCGCTGGAACAGCCCAACCCGGGCGGAGTTTCCATGATGACCTGAAGGAGGAGAATCTCTTCCCGTGTGCTCAGAGTGAGGAATATCCCGAGGGATTGTCCCTGCCCGAGGGGCTGCAGGGATTAGCGGACACAAACGGGAAGGATCTGGGTAAATTCTGCTTCCAAGAGCTCCTCGAATGTGTGTGTCTTCCTCCTTCCCTTCGGCCACGCTCCGGAGGCTCCGAGGAGGTGAGGAATGAACAGGAGTGGAGGCAGAGCAGGTGGGAGCAGGGATTGCCAGGCTGCACTAAGCTGCTTTCGCTGGCTTAGTTGGGAGTAAAACCTGGTTGTAAGAGCTGCCAAAAATAACATCCCTGTGGGGCTCTGGCCTTCCAGGCCCTGCTGTCTCCACACAGCTTCCAGTGCCCCACCTGGGGCTCAGGGAGCTTAGCTTTTCCAGGGATTCATGGAAGAAATGAGGCCGGGCCCCTGTACCCTGCTTCCTTCTCAGTGTCATACCCAGAGGCTGAACATTCCCTAAGGAAAACCTCTGAAAATCAGAGGATGAATCCCAGGATGGTTTGGGCTGGGAGGACCTTAAAGCCCATCCAGTGCCACGGGCAGGGACACCTTCCACTGTCCCAGGGTGCTCCAAGCCCCGTCCAGCCTGGCCTTGGATCCTCACGAAATCCAGAGCCTGGCATCCGTGGACTTGCAGGAAACAGGCAGTAACAATTGCCAGCACTGAGATTTTAGGGCAAAATGTTGTGTTTTCAGGGCTCTGCAGTCACGGGGGCTGAGCAGTTCCCATCAGGGGCTGCTCCAAGGCTTTTCCAGGTTTCAGAAGGAATGGAATTGCCTCCCTTGGTGGGGAGTGGAGGATGCTGAGGGACAGGAGCAGCTCCCAGCCCCGGGAAGCTCCGCGTGCTGCTGATCCCTTTGGGAGCGAGGAGCTGGGATCAGAGGCTGGAGCTGGGAATGTGCTCCCCCCCCAGCTGTGAAACACAGCCTGGCTCAGGCAGGGGCTGCATTTTAATTACCTGCAGCAGCTTGGCCGGGCCCCTGGAAGCGCTGATGGAATGACAAGGATGGCGCAGCGCCGGCAGCGGGAAGGAGGCGCGGAGCCTCCGCGGTGGCCCAGCTGCAGCATATGGAGGCAGCTGAGCATCATCTGACAGATCCTGGGGCTCGTTAGTTTAATTGCTGCAACATCCCCGAGTCAATTAATCTTCCTTTGAAAACCTGGAGTGGAGCGGGGGGCGGAGGGAGGTTATTTTGGGCCTGGCATGACACAAAGCAGCAGGATGAGGAGAACGTGATTTGCCTCGGCGTGGTGAAGCCTCGGGGCTGTGTCACCTCTCCCGGGGGGTGACCTCTCTCCTGGGGGGGATGAGGGGGGAGAGGTGACACGCTGCTGAGTGTCCCCTGTCGGGCTGTCACCTCCGTTTCACACCCTCCTCCTGCTGCAGTTTGGGATGGGGGCGGGGGCTGTGAAGTGCCATGGGGAGGGGTGCTGAGCTCCCCCATCCTCATCCCGCTGCCCTGGGTGGGGGGGGTTCATCCACAGGATCATCCCGTGCTCCAGGGTGGAGGAGGAGGAGGCCCTGCTGCTCCCAATAAATTCCCTGCCCTTCTCCCCTCGCTGTCACTCGCTTTTTTTTATGTCCCCCATGGCTGCTCCGCATCCCTCTCACGCGGCGGCCGCACGTGCCCGGCCCCGGCGTGGGCTGAGCCCCCCGCCCCGGGCAACCAAACCCCTCCACCGGACCCCCCCAGAGCCCTGCTGAGGCCGGGGGCGGGGGACAGGACCCCCCCAGCACCCCCCGCTCGGCAGCGTCGTGATTCAGCCCTGCGTGAGCGGCCGCCCCGTTGCGTCAGGCCTGGCGGGGAGCTGCGGCTCAATGGAACGAGGAGGAGCCGCAGGAAAATGATCAAGGAGAGCTCATTCATTCCCTCTAACGAGGAGTATCCGAGCGCGCCGGGGGGGGCTGAGGCTGCCACCACCCCCCGGGCCGTGTCACCTCGCGGGGAGGGGCGGGCCGATGTCGCCGTGACCCCCCCCGCGCCCTCCCCGTGCCCGTGGGGACGCGGTGCCAGCGCATGGGTGCCACCGTGGCCCGGTGCCCGCCGGCTGCTATTAATAGAGGCTGCGGATTTTAATTGCTGCCACTCAGGAGTGGGGCGGGGGGGAGGCAGGAGCGGACCCCGGCTGTGACAGGGACCATGGGACCTCCAGAGTCACCTGTCAGCTCCAGCGTCAGGTGGCAGTGGTGTGACACAGAGCTGGGGGTGCTCACCCTGGGGCTCTGCTGGTCCCACTCAGGCACTGGAGGGGGGCTCAGCCAGCACTCGAGTGTCCCACAGCCCCACCAGGACCCCCAGTGTGTCCCCTCAAGGGCCCCTCTGGGGTTTTGGGGCTCTGCCATGAGCAGGTGACACCAGTTGGTGACAAAGGCCCTGCGGTGTGTGCACCAGCTCCCGGTCCTGTGCTGGGGTGGCACCATAGCCTCTGTGTCCCCAAAGCCCAGCATCACTGCCCAGGCCACCCCCAGCTGCCCCGGGGGCTCACAGCACCCTGTGCCACCTGTGCCCTGCCTGGCTGGGGCGTTGGTGTCCGTCTGTCCTGTCCCTGTGCCCCTGTCCCCACCTGCGGGGCTCTGTCCCCGTCCACGAGTCCCTGGGCTGTCCCTCCTCATGTGGATTCATGTCCCCACCTGTGCAGGTGTCCGTGTGTCGTCCCTGTCCGTGTGTCCTCATCCCCAAGTGTCCCTGTCTGTGTGTCCCTGTCCGTGTGTCCCCATCCTGTCTCCGTGCCTGGCTGTCCACTCTCACCCCCTGTGTCCCCATCTCTCTCTCCATGTGTTGCCATCCGTGTGTCCCTGTCCCCATCCTGGCATGTTGTCCCTATTCGTGTGACCCTCTTTGAGTCTCTTCTCCGTGTGTCCCCATCCCGTTCCTGTCTGTCTGTCTGTCCCTGTCCCTGTGTTTCCATCCCACGGATCCCCATCAATACCCGTGTGCCCCCATCCTTGTGCATCCCTGTCCGTGTGTCCCTGTCCGTCTGTCCCCATCCCTGTCCGTGTGTCCCGTCCCGCCGCCGCCGGGTCCCGGAGCCGCTCGGGGCCGGGCCCGGTGTCCGTGCCCTCCCGCTGCCGCTCCATCTCCATCCTGAGCGGGATGCTCGTCCCTCCCGCCCCTTCTCCCGCTCCTCCATCTCCATCCTGCCCCTCCATCCGGCCCCTTCTGCCTCTCCGTCGGTGTCCGGCTCTTCCCTCGCCTCTCCATCTCCATCCTGAGCGGGATGCTCGTCCCCCCTGCTCTTCCTCTGCCCCTCCGACCTCCATCCAGCCCCTTCTCCTGCCCCTTCATCCCTCCATCCTGCCCTTCCCTGCCCCTCCATCTTCACCCTGTGCTCCCCATCCCAGCCCTGCCCCCTCACCCTGCCCTGCCCTCCCTCCTGACCCCCAGGTCCCCGCCAGTGTCACCCCCAGTGCTGGGGGCCCGAGTGGGAGGTGCTGGGGGTTCCGGGGGGTGCAGAGCTCCCCGGCAGGATCAGGCCCGGTGGTCCCTGCCCACGAGCAGAGGGGGGGCCGTGCTCCAGCCCCTCGGGCACCAGGGACGGTTGGGATCGGGGTGCTGCTGGGCCATGGGGTCACCCCAAAGAGCCCCCCGGTTCCGTGAGGGTCTGTCCAGCCCAGCCCCTCAGCTCAGTGCCCCACGGCAGGGCTGTGAGTTCGGGGGCACTTTCGGCTGTGCCGTGGACAAGTGGGATGGACAGGTGGAACAAGTGGGATGGGACAGGTGGGACAGGCAGGTGAGCCAGGCGGGATGGGACCGGTGGGACAGCGTGGGACCATTGCCAGCCCCGGCCAAGGCTGGACGTTCCCACGCGCCAGCTCAGCCCCGGCCCCCGCTGCAGCCCCAGCCCCCGGGCGCTGGTGACGCTCCCAGCATGGTGGGATCCAAGGAGCCCACGGTGGGATGAGCTCCTTGGCTGCCCGAGCCCGCGGGGATGGGCTCCTCCAGCTGCCAGCCTCGCCTGCCTCTGGGTCTGGGGACATGCCGGGGGTTTGGGGCTGCTCTGCGGGGTCTGGATGCCCCAGTGCCCTGGGATGGGGATGGAGCGGCCGTGGGAAGGGGTCGGTTCCCCCGGAGATGCTCAGGGATGCAGCAGCTGCCGTGCCCAGGGCAGCCACCAGTACGGGGCTGTCTGGGGCACTTTGCTGTCCCCTTCCTGAACTGGGGTGCCAGGAGTGCAGCTGACTGGGGACAGTCCTAAAGCAGTGCTCAGGCCCCCTTCCCTCCCCTCCTTCCCACTCATCCTGTCACTGGGCACCTTTGGAAACCCTGTCCCGTGCTGGGATTAATGTCCCCAAGGCTCTGTGAGGGTCCCACACGCCCTGGGGACCCTCGTGGGACAGAGCTGGTGCTGCCACCCCTGCGCTGCACCGGGGGAACTGGAGCAGGGCCCAGCCCGGGGCTCAGCACCGGTGACTCTTTGTGCCACCTCCTTTCACACCCCGGGGCTGCATCACTGGGGGGACACTGGGGACATTGCCCGGATCCAGGTGTCCCCTGTGGGTGGACACTGAGGTTTGGCAGCGTGAGGGTGGCTGGGGGGTCTCTGACCCACTGCCCACCGCCCACAGCCCACAGCTGTGCCACGCTCCTTTTCTCCACTCCCCAGTGCATCCCTGGGGTGGGAATGGCACAGAGGGATGGCACAGCGTGGGACGGGGTGGCAGGGAGTGACAGGGGTGACAGGACACCAGCAGCACGGCCTGTGTGTGAAAGGGCACCTCTGTACCTCACCAGAGAGCCCAGCTGGGCGCTCCAGGTGCCACCGTGACCTCACCGGGTCAGCGAGTGCCCTGCAGAGCTGCTCCCGCTGCCCGGGCGGGCCGGGGGGGTCCCTGCCCAGCGAGCCCCCCCGGCAGCCTCGGCAGCAGCTGCGGTGCCGGTGGCCGCGCTCGGCCATATGGCCACGGCGGGCGGCCGGTAAAAATAGCCGAGGCACTGCACCCCGCGCCGGCCGGCAAGGGCGTCCCAAGGGCAGCGAGCCCAGCGCCCGGCCGGGGCTGATCTCGGGGGGCCACACGGGGGTGACGCCTCCCTGTGCCCCCGCAGCGAGCGCGGGGCAAGATGCCGGAGCAGAGCAACGATTACCGCGTGGTGGTGTTCGGAGCCGGCGGCGTGGGCAAGAGCTCGCTGGTGCTGCGCTTCGTCAAGGGGACCTTCCGCGACACCTACATCCCCACCATCGAGGACACCTACCGGCAGGTGATCAGCTGCGACAAGAGCGTGTGCACCCTGCAGATCACCGACACCACCGGCAGCCACCAGTTCCCGGCCATGCAGCGCCTGTCCATCTCCAAGGGCCATGCCTTCATCCTGGTCTTCTCGGTCACCAGCAAGCAGTCGCTGGAGGAGCTGAAGCCCATCTACCAGCAGATCGTGCAGATCAAGGGCAGCGTGGAGAGCATCCCCATCATGCTGGTGGGCAACAAGTGCGACGAGACGCAGCGCGAGGTGGAGAGCAGGGAGGGGGAGGCCATGGCCAAGGAGTGGAAGTGCGCCTTCATGGAGACCTCGGCCAAGATGAACTACAACGTCAAGGAGCTCTTCCAGGAGCTGCTGAACCTGGAGAAGAGGAGGAACGTCAGCCTCACCATCGACGGGAAGCGCTCCAGCAAGCAGAAGAGGACAGACAAAATCAAGGGGAAGTGCAGCATCATGTAGAGCCCCGGACTGGCCCGCGCCCCCCCTCCGGATACCCGCACCCCCCTCCTCCCCCCCGCGGCTGGACGTGGCAGTGGCACCGCAGCGGGACCGTCCCCTCGTCCTCCGTGTGCCATCACTGTGACTGTGCGGGGACGCCAGCGCTCGGCCCGGGGCCGGGGGTGAAGACGGGGCCGAGGTGAGGGACACGCGGCCACCCCCGGGCACGGCAGGACCGGGGACTCGCCGCCGGGACAGCCGGACCACACCCCCGCTCTCAGCACAACCGGTGCCACCGGGCCCGGCCCCCGTCGGTCCTCGCGGGAGGGAAGGACGGTGCCGCATGGGGATGGCGGTGTCGCCCTTTGGGGACAGTCGCGCCCCCGTCCCCACGCCATAGTGCTCTGCTCCTGCGGGCAGAGCCCCGGGGCGGGGGCAGCCCCTGCGCGGTGCCCGTGTCCCCCTGCCCGCTGTCCCCAGCCCCTGTCCCCCCCCCAGCCCCGCGCCGGTGCCGCAGCCGGAGCCGCCAGCCCAAGCACAAAGCATCGGGTCCGCGGGAGGTCCTGACCCAGCACAATCCTGGCGAGCTCCGGCGGGAGACCCCCGGCCCCCCCCGCTGCCCCCTCCCCAGCGATGCCGCGGGCCGGGCGCTGCCGCCGCGCCCCGCCAGTGCCACCCCGTGCTCGGAGTGCCTGGCCCCGCACCCCCGGGACCCCCGACGCCCTCCAGCTCCGGCGCAGCCCCCGCTTGTCCCCCCCCGGCCGGAGCGGGGTCCCCGCGCTGTCACCAGCCCCTCGTCCCCTCGCGGTTTGTCCCCTCGCTCCGGCCCCGCTCCTTCCCCCGCCGCCGCCGGGGTGTCCCCGAGGGGGTGTCCCCGAGGGGGTGTCCCCGGGCAGGCCCCCCGAGCCCCCCGAGCCCCCCGGCTTTTTACACGAGGATCCGAGCGCCCAGGGGACGAGGTGACGATGTAGCCTTTATTCTAGAAATAGTCTTCCTTCAATAAAGAGACGAGAAACGCTCCCGCGTCCCCCGAGCCGCCCCCGGCCGGGGCGGGGGGGGCACGGCAAGGGCGGCGCGGTGAGAGTGACACGTGTGACGTGGTGAGAGTGACACGTGTGACGTGGGGAGTGTGACACGTGTGACGTGGTGAGAGTGACACGTGTGACGTGGGGAGAGTGACACGTGTGACGTGGTGAGTGTGACACGTGTGACGTGGGGAGAGTGACACGTGTGACGTGGGGAGTGTGACACGTGTGACGTGGGGAGAGTGACACGTGTGACGTGGGGAGTGTGACGTGGTGCGTGTTCACGCGCCCTTGGAGACAGCCACGGCTCCGTGGGACGGCCACAGACACGCGTGTGTGCGGGTGTGAGGCGCGTGTGGTGCGTGTGTGCGTGTGGCATGTGGCATTTGAGTGTGTGACGTGGGGAGTGTGACACGTGTGACAGCGGGCACAGGTGGGTGTGTGGCACAAATGTGACATGTGTGCACAGGTGTGTGTGTGTGACAAATGTGACAGCGGGCACAGGTGGGTGTGTGACACGAATGTGACAGCGGTCACACCTCAGTGTGTGACACAAACGTGATGTGTGCACACCTCTGTGTGTGACACGAATGTGACGGCGGTCACACCTCTGTGTGTAGGACACGAGTGTGGCAGTGGGCACAGATGTGTGTGTGTGTGTGTGACACGAGTGTGACGTGTGTTCCGCGTGTGTGACACGCGCGTGCCCCGTGCCCTGCTCGTGCCGCGCCCGCGCGTGACGTGCGTGCGACACGTGTGTGACACGTGTGTGACACGTGTGACGTGCCCGCGTGTCGCCGTCCCCGCCCGTGCCCGCGGGAGGGGGGGGAGGGGGGGGGCGGGAGCGCGGCGCGTGCGTCATCACGCCCGTTGCCATGGAAACCAGCGCTGCTCCCCGGGCGCGGGAGCCGCGTGGGCTCCGGGAGCGGGCGGGGGGAGCGGGGGGGGAACGGGGCTGCCGCGGGCACCGGGGGACCGGGCAAGGGCACGGCCCGGGGGATGGGCAGGGACCTGTGGGGATGGAGCGGATCCATGGGGACGGCACAGATCCTTGGGGATGGGCAGGGATCTGTGAGGATGGGCAGGGACCCGGGGATGGGCAGGGATCCGGGGATGGGCAGGGATGGGCAGGGATCCGGGGATGGGCACGGATCCGGGGATGGGCAGGAATGAGGGGATGGAGCGGATCCGTGGGGATGGGCAGGGATCTGTGGGCATGGGCAGGGATCTGTAGGCATGGGCAGGGATCCGGGGATGGGCAGGGATCCACAGGGATGGGCAGGGATCTGGAAATGGGCAGGGATCCACAGGGATGGGCATGGATCCGGGGATGGGCACGGATCCGGGGACGGGCAGGAATGAGGGGATGGAGCGGATCTGTGGGCATGGGCAGGGATCTGGGGATGGGCAGGGATCCGGAAATGGGCAGGGATCCACAGGGATGGGCACGGATCCATGGAGATGCGCATGGCTTTATGGGGATGGCACAGATCCATAGGGCTGGATGGTCGTGGATCCATGGGGATGGATGGGGATGGATCTCAGGGATGGTGATGGATCTCAGGGATGGTCCTGGATCCATGTGGATGGTGATGGGTTTGTGGGAACGGCCACAGCTCTGTGGGATGGTCACAGATCCATAGGGATGCCCTGAGCTCTGTGGGGACAGTCCAGCTCCGCAGGGATGTCACAGCTCCCTGGCACTGCCCGTGGGACCTGCTCCTGTCCCCGTGTCCCTTCTGTGGCCTGGGGGCATCCGGGGCCCTCTGTGGGTGCCAGGGCAGGACAGGGGGACAGGCACACGCGGGCATGGGGACACTTGGTGCCACTCCCCGCCTGCTGGGACCCCTCAGGACTCTCAGGTGTTCGGGGGGGCACCACCACACCAAAACTCAGAGCGCTCCCAGAGGCTCCACAACGCCTCGGGGGCAGAAAATCTCTTCTTCCCCTGTCCCCGGGTCTCCCCCTCCCCATCTCTGTCCCCTCTGTCCCCTCCCACTTTTCCCCACCCCTGTCCTGCTGCAGCCCCGGGTGTCCCTCGGGATGCTGCCCGGGATGGAGGATGCTCCCCCCGGGAAGAGCCGGGTCCCTGCAGCCCCCCCAAACCCCATCCTGAACCCCCAAAATCAGCTCCAAACCCCATCCTGAGCCCCCAAAAATCAGGGCACCCCGGGAGGGAGGATCCTCGCCGGGCGCCCGGAGCCTCCCCCGGGTCCAGGCGTTAATCAAAGCTGCTCCAGAGCGTTAATTAGCGGGATGAGCCCTGGAATGAGCCGTTCCCGTCGCTGCCTCCGCCACGGGCAGCCCTGGCTGCATCCCGCGGCCATCAATTTCACAAATGCAGATTTTGGGACCCGAACCAGCTCCTGGCATCGCACTGGCATGGGCGCGGTGTGAATATTGTCCCTTGTGTCGCCTAGCGGGGGGACACCGCGGCACCGGGGCTGCCCATCTGCGGGAAAAGCGGATTAGGACTCGGCGGGCCGGGACATACGGGAGCAAACCGGATTAGGGGGAAATCAGCCTTCTTCCCACTAACAGGATTATCGAGTTCCCAGCCCGATTCCGGAGCCACCGAGGGCTGTGCCCGGCAGCGGAGCCACCGAGGTGGGGACAGCCGAGGTGGGGACAGCCCGGGCCCGGCATTTCCCCACCTCAATCCTGCTGGGACCGCAGCTGGGACTGGTGCGGACTGGTGCGGGCTGGTGCGGGCTGGTGCGGGCCAGCGCAGACCGGGACGCGCGGGGAAGCGATGGCGGCTGCCCCGGGGACGTGGCCGTGTACCCGCACGGTGACTCCGGGGCCTGGCACCACCGGGACCCGCCTGGGGCAGCCCCGGGGGGGAATCGAAGCCCCGATTCAGGGCGCGATTTCCGCTCCCCCCGGCCGCCGCTGATTCATCCCCACGGATTTTCCCCCCGGTTCCCGGGGCAGCGGCTCGCCGAGGTGGGTGGGGACATCCCGGGGCTGGGGGGGCGGTGCCCGGGGGGGGCTGGGGGGACTGGGGGACCCCGAGCCCCGCATTGGGGTCACAGAGGGGGTCCCGGGGAGACCCCGGGGACACCAGGGCCGCCACCCACCGGGGGATCCCCGGGGGTCCCGGGATGTCCCCTCCCGGTGCTTCGCGCCCCGGCCGCCACGTGCCCCCTCCCATCTTATTAATATTAATGAGATATTCATGAGACCACGCCCCGTTCCCAGCCCCGCGCGCTGATTGGTCCCTGCTCCCGCCGCTCCTCCGCCGGCCCCGCCCCCTCCCCGGCCTCCCTCCGCGCCGCCGCCGCCGCAACCGAACTTGGCGGCCGCTCCCGGGGGGGGGTTGGCATGAGGGACCCTGGCAGGGTCCCCACGGGGGTCGCGGCGCTGGGAGGGGTTTTGGCACAAGGCTGAGGGCGGGGAGATGACGTGGGGGTGTTTGGGGGGCGCGGGAAGGGGCCGTGGTGGGGTTTTGGGAGGTCTCCGGGTTTTTGGGTGAGGGGATCGAGGGGATGGCGGCAGAGGGGGGTGGCGTGGGGATGGTGTGAGGGGCAGCTTGGCATGGATGAGGTGACAAGGGACACTCGGAATCCATGAGGGGCACGGCTCAGCGCCAGCTGCTTGGGAAGTTGGGTGACTTCATGGTGATCCAGCCCCGGTTTTGGGGGTGAAAAAGGAGACTGGGAGCTGGGCAGAACACCCCAGAGCCCATAATTTACTTGTTTGTTTCCCGCCGGCGAGTTGAGGGTGGGTCGGTGTGGCAGGACAGCGCCGGCATTCCCGCCCGATCCCGGCAGGGTTCGGGAGGCAGCGGGGAATTGTGTGGGTTACATAAAGGAGGGGTGGCTGCAGGATCTGGGTTTTGTGTTATTGAGGTGTAGAGGAGGTAAGTGGGTGCCGGAGACAAAGGCAGAGAGAGAGAGAGAGAGAGGAATCTGTCTCCTGCTCCTCACTTCCACTTGGAGGTGTGGAATGGGAAGCTGGGCGTCCTTCAGGAGTTGGGGAAGTGCAGGGTTGGAGCTGTGGGTGCAAATCTGGGCTTTGCTTCCGTCCTCTGGCCATCAGGTGTGGCCTTAAGGCAAAGCCAGTGGGCTGGGCTGGGGCTGTGTGTGCTCTGAGGCACCTCTGCTGCTGCTTGGAGGAAGTTGTTGTGGGTAAAAAAGGGGTTTTTTTGGGAAAACTGGCACCCTCCAGCTTTGTGAGCCTCTCGTGGCGCTG